TCTTATGACTGTTCACCTAACTACCTTGAACAATACTGTATTTTTCTTTGCTCACCTATTTGGAGACATGCAGAGCCGCTTCAAACAAACCATCTTGCCTTCCCATTTGTATCTACGACCTCTTGAACCCATTTCACCCTCTAAACCACACATTGAAACTATGCCAAATTAAAAATAGAAAACAATCCTCCACCCAGCAGTGCTTAATTGAGCACCTACTGTTTGCTTTATATTATGAACTGTAATTAGAACACCTTGAGTCTTATCCTTAGCTTCCTGAGATCCCCAGTGGATGTCATCATGTAAGAATGAAAAAGTTATCGAAGAATGAATGGCCTGATGTCAAGGGAGCTTTTCAGTCTTTCCTAATGGTCTCATGCCCTCTGTGTGGGTTACAATCTTTGGAAGTATAAGATTTCTTGTAAAAGTCACAGCACCTGCCAACACAGTTGGGCAAGGACCCAAGTGGGGTGATTTGTGCCGCATTCCTCCCTGGTATTCAGAGACCACATAGTACCTGAAGCTTGCTGGGCCCAGCTCCTGGGGAGTGTCAAAAGAACAGGCCCAGGCAGTCCTCTCCTCAGATTGCAATCAAAAGTTGCTTGATAAATCAGTAAGACTGAAAATATTCTTGGCAGCTTACACAGGCAGTGGTAAGAACATGTTTTTTGTAGTTACAATGAATCCATTATATAAGGGCCGGAAGTGACCAAAATCATTGATTGGCTAATTATACATAACTCAAGGGTCATAATGCTTCAGTCATTATGTGGGAATATTCATAAAGCACTTGAGTTCAGCTCCAATAAAGAGGGCAAATGTACCCAGGGAAATTGCAGGGTAAAAGTCCTGGAATGTAGACAGTATAGGATGTTACAGGTCTGAAATGGAAGGGTTTAATATATTACTGAGTTTTGCAAACAGATTCTTGGAAAACAGATTCCTCAAGTCTTTCCCAGCTTTCAGATGGGATGTGAAACTAGAGGTTTTAGCTTTTACTTGTGGTTGTCTAAAAATCTACCCTATTTTTCTTAGGAAGGGAAGCAGTTGCCTTAACACCCTGGCCAGATTCCCAACATGTACAGGGTGGCCCATTTAAAACAGGCCTGTGGATGCTTCAGAGTGAGGGAAGGGTTTGTTGTAAAGCACCATGTGTATGTGGGTGTTTAATGAATATGAGCTGATTAAATTGGCCACCCTGAATTATAACCTCATACCTTCTCTGGTTCCTCTCCAGTTTTTAGCTCAGGACCATATTCTTTCTACTTTCTGCCCAAACTTGTTAGGGAGAAATGTGCCTGCTATTAAAACTGCCAGTGTTTTCCACCCAATGTTTCTTTGTTTGAATGATGAACAGAAGAATTCAGCCTTGGAAATACCTTTCTTTCAAATAGCTCATCCAGCTGCATGACGTTCTGCATCAGCCACACCCACATCACTTCCCCTTCAAACCTTCTCGCCTCCATCTGCTTCCCTGTCTCTGGCGTAGGACAATACCAGTATCTGTCTGGAGCAGATAGTGAGCTCTGCCACAAACAGAGAAGGGCTTGTCTGAAGAAGGAAAAAGCTCTGCTCATGAAATCAAGCAGCCTGGGCTTATGCGCCCTTTTTGCTAATAGCCATCTGTGTGGCTTAGGGAGTCACTGTCTTCACAGGCCCGAGTTCCTTCATCTATAAAGGGAGGGAGTGAGACAAAATCAGTACTTCTCAAATTGAGAGCTGTAGATTCTTGAGGTCTGCAAGTTCAATGAGATTTTAAACTTTTTATGAAGATTGTTTTAAATCATAAAGACAATGCTTTGCAATGAAAAGTCATTTTCAAAAAATAAGTCCTAAGTTTCTTAAGCTGGTGATTCTGAAACTTAATCTAAGGTCTCCTAGAGATTTTTTAACAGTTTTGCAAGTCTCAATTTGTCCCTTTAAAAAGACTCCACATATCTTCGGGTTTGAGTGGTATGTGGAGTCTTTTTAAAGACTCCAGTAGGTGAAAACAGTTCAGTTTTCATCTACTCAGAATTCGAATATAGAGGTAGGATAAAACATTAGCTTTAACTTTCGTATCCTTACCCTACTCAATCTAATTACTTTTGAACCACTTCAATATGTTTAAGTCTTTTAGCATATGAGTTTCTTTTGTTTTCACTAATATATGGTGATTCCTGTTTTCAGTCACTATATTTTAAATTATAAAAAGCATGTTTGTCCCAATAGCTCTTTCCCTTTCCCTTTAAGACTCAAATCATTTCATGTATTAGTGGCCAACCTAGTTAATTGAGACCACCTTCCTCTGTTAAGGTTTCTTTGTTGGTTGAAGTGAGGAGATACATGGTCCATTCCTAAGTATCCATGCGGGATTGGTTCAGGGACTCAGCCCCATACTAAAATCCTCAGATGCCCAAGTGCCTTATATAAAATCACATAGTATTTTCATGTAACCTATGTATATCCCTCCATATACTTTAAGTAATCTCTAGATTACTTATAATACTTCATACAATATAAATGCTATGTAAATAGTTATACTGTATTTTAAAATTTGTATTATTTTTACTGTTATATTGTTATTTTTTCTTCTTCTTTTTTTGTTTTTTTTTGACAGAGTTTCACTCTTGTTGCTCAGGCTGGAGTGCAATGGTGCGATCTTGGCTCACCATAACCTCTGACTCCCAGGTTCAAGCGATTCTCTTGCCTCAACCTCCCAAGTAGCTGGGATTACAGGCACGCACCATCCCACACCCAGCCAATTTTGTATTTTTGTTAGAGATGAGGTTTCTCCATGTTGGTCAGACCAGTCTCTAACTCCCGACCTCAGGTGATCTAACCGCCTTGGCCTCCGAAAGTGCTGGGATTACAGGTGTGAACCACCACGTCCAGCTTATATTGTTATTTTTTATTCCTTTTTTCCCCAAAATATTTTCAATCCATGTTGGTTGAATGGGCAGATGGGGAACCCCTAGATATGGAGGGCTGACTATACTTTTATCTGTAATCTTGAGATTGAAGAGTCATAGTAGTTTATGTATGCATTCTACTTTCATAATTTATGGAGTGCTTTCATATGAATTATCTCATTTGATTTTCACTACAGTTTTGTCTAATAAATGATGTAGGTAGCATGATCCCCATTTTACAGATGAGATACTCAGGCCCAGAAATTTTGCTTCATATCTTCTGATTTGGCCTACTTGTTCTTCCCAACAATGCTTCTTCATCCAATTACAGCAACAAATGTATACTAGGTACCTGTTATTTGCCATATGTGCTGCTTCATTGTTATTTGTTCCGGGAAATAGCAAGTGGAGCTTCTCATTCAAGGATAAAATGATATTGGCAGGCCTTGCTCAGCCTGACGTAAGTCTCATGCCATTATTTACTAAAATACTTACCCAGTCTAGTTCGTGATACATAAAGGAATTCAATATTTATTGGATGATTGAGTGCATAAATAAATCTAAAATAAATTATCTCTCTAATCAAAATTTATGTATCAGAGATAATTTTTGCTAATAGATTTTTACCAGAAATTTTTCAGCTTCCAAGTCAGCAGGATTTGCTCAGCGACTGCCAAGTGCTTTGAGGAAAAAAATAGAGAAACTGCTGGGAGAGGGGAGTGACTGGCAGACCAGTAGAGGAAATCCCCTTTCTGTCCTCATTCATCTTCCTATCTATGATCCGTGATCTAGGCCTCAGAGTGGACATGGGGAATGGTAACACTTTGCCTACAGTTAACCAAAATACCTACTCCCACTGTAGGGAGAAGAGAGGAATGACAGAGGTGTATGAAGATTAAGTACAAAGGCAGACAAATGTAATCACATTGGAAGGTAGGATGGAGAGCAGAAGAGTTGGTGGAAGACAATTTTTGTGGTCAGGATATGTCTGAATGGAAAGGGGAGAGAGATTTTGTCTGCTCCTCCCATAGTATGGTTTGGCTAGTTTCCCTTTATTTCCTAAGAGACCTGTTAGTGACCAGGGACATCACATTTTAATCAAGGCAACTCTTGCTGGGCTGGTAAGCAAGGCTCCCGTGGGTGTGGTGAAGTTAGCGGGGTAAAGAGTGAGGCTGCTAGTCACAAAGGGAGCCACTCGCCCTTTTCCGTTGTTGACGGCTGCTGTGATATCTGTAAACATAGAGAGTGGACTCACATACTCATAAATGCTAGTCACTGTCATACCATTGCATTGTGCATAAAAGTAGATTGCCCGGAAAAAGTGATTTTACTTCATTTTTATATACACATTGTTCCTTTAACCACTTCCTGAAATTCCAGGCTTTTATTTTGCTGTCATTCACTTAAATTGCCTCTTTCTCAAAGCATCCGGGTTCTAGAGATGTTCTTTTGCTTAAAGTGTGTTTCTAAGTACCTTCTGGGAACCATGTAAAATTATCTGGCTCCACTTGACCAATGAGGAGCTTACTTTTCCTCCAAATTACTCCTCTCTGACAGAGGTTGTTGGTCATCTTAAATAGCTAAGAATGTTTGATGAACCAAAGTAAAATTGCAGAGCCTATTCACCCAGCCAAACTGAAACACACCTGATTAACTGACCACACACATGGTCTCAGAGTGACATCTCACTTGGGGAGTCAAAGCCAATGATTGTGGTTAGTGCCCCAGCAGGCCTCAGTTGGTTAGAGTTAATACACACCTATGGTTTCTGCCAGGTAGTTTTCATCAGCTTCCTTAAAATGTCAGAGTGTGTGTATAATTAAGAGTATTTAATCATATTATAATTCCCCACAGAGAGATGGAGTGGGGGATGAAGGATCACTGGCTTTTACAGTCTCAGCAAGAGTCATCAGTTGAAAAAAATAGAAACAGAAAAATGCCAAGTCTCTGGGCTGTGTCTGTGCCATAACTCACTCAGAAGTTTGGCTGGCACCATCACCTCAGTGTCATTTCAGTGAAAATGTAATCTCAACCTTTTGTTGCAATCTCAGGGTTCTCACTATTTTGGTATTAGCTTAGAACATGTGGATTGCAAAGGAAAACTGTTGAATACAATTCCCTGTTCATCAAGGCTGTGATTTGTGTACAGCCACATAAGGCAACCTTCAGTTTAAAAGAGTGATGACTTCAGTCCTGTAAAAATAGATGAGGTGGGCACTTAAAATATTTTAAGTTAGATCAATCAGAAGGGTGAGCACAGTTTAATTGGCATCTATTGATAGGTTTCTAAATTAAAAGAGCAGAATATAGAGCCATCAGTCTTAGCCATGAAATCATGTTCACATTTATTCCAAATCCATCATTCTTTCCCATTTCCCCATATATCCTGTTTTCTTTATCCTGTCAATTGTCAAATTTAGCTTCTGGAAATGATCTCTTATTTTGGATTAGGAAACCAAGTCCTAATGACCGTAAATGACTTTACAGAGTTACATAGCTAGTTAGCTAGTTAGAATCTGACTCACCAGATTTCCAGTCTTTCTACTTTGCCAGAGAGTCTTTCCTGGGAAATATATTTTTACCTATTTCTTAGAAGAATTTACTTATGTGAGCTTCACTTAAAGCAGTATTGGTCTATTTCCTAATTCCCTTAAATTGATCATGGTGCGTTTCTGTTAAAAAACCATAGAGTTTCTTTATAATTATGTTCTAACACTACTTCTTCCTTTTTGTCAGTAACAGTGCCACAGTAAGTGGATTGGCTTAAAATGAAAATCATTGGTTGCGTTTCCACCCCAAACCCCTTGCAGTCACTATTATTTAGGAGGAAACACCTTTTGCTCTGTTTCTGTCCACTCCAGACCTCCCCTGCATGGAACTCTGTCCACTGTTTGTATTACTCCATCTTTGCTTACAGGTGTAATGGCCAGTGGATGCAAAATACATATAAAGTAAGATTTGGGATTAGGAGGCTCGAGGGGGATGGATATATAGAGAAAGGACTTAGGAAGCACAAGAACAGGGACTGGCAGAAAACATATTCTGAGACAAAGTCTATTTAGCTCTGGTCGGTTGGTTTATCTAGGCTGACATTTCTCAACCTGGGCACCATTGGCATTTTGGATCATTCTTGATTGTGGAGAGCTATCCTGTGCATTATAGTACACTTAGTAGCGTTCCTACCTCTTCCAACTGGGTAGATGCCAAAGGCTTCTCTCCATTTGTGACAACCAAAAATGTCTCCACACATTAACACATACCCTGGGGCCGGGGGAGGGGAGAGAAAGGAAGAGTTGTCTCTGGATGAGAATCACTGATCTCACTCAATCACTGATCTTTGACATCAGCACCATAAGATATTCTGTGAGAGGACAGAGTCGACTTTCTAATTCTTAACCTAAAAAGTTAGGGCCCTACTCCAGATATTCTTTATCTACTGCAAATACAAATTATTTATTTGTTCATTCATTCAAATAACAGTTATTACAGATGACACTATGTCAGGTACTCAGCTAAGTCTAGATGAAAAGACAGAACCCTCCCACAAAGACTTAGAACTTAATACTCTTAAAAATTCTACTCAATATAGTCGACTTGCTCACCAATGCTAATGAAGTTAAGACTTGGAGGTGGTATTCCCTTACCTGGTTTTAACTCAGATCAACCATTTCACTGGTTGGACCAGCACAAATATATCTTGGCTACTCTAAAAATCACTTTAAAAACATATCCTACTGATGGTATGTTGATAGTTTCCTGGGATATGAAGGTAGGCATGGTTAAAGCTGATAGAACTCTTAGAGACAAGTGAAAAAAAAACCTCTTTGATAAATCACTAGCATAGTATTACACGGCTTTTTCTTTGGCCCAGCTGCGTGTAGCCCCCTTTAGACTCAAACCACCATACTTCCTGATAACACATGGCCTTGTTTATGTTCATTGTATTTATTTAGCTTATCTTGATTCCTCTTTCTGCATAAGAAACCACAACTGGAAAAATTAATTAATTCTTAATTTACTCATAAATTTCCTCCCATTAGAAGGTATCAATGCCTCTTGTAATTTGGTGCAAATTTCCTTTCAGTATTTTTAATCTCTTCGGATATGTGTCAGTTGGATTCTCATTAAACAACATAAAAATATATAAGCTAATTATATAACTTTAAAAAGTATCAAACAGAAGATTGTAACATCCCTCACTGAAGCTTTCTCAGAATTACTGTGTGTACCAGTGTACCGGTTGTTCTCAACCCAGGGCAGTATTGCTCCCAGAGGAGTTTTGACAGTGTCTGAAGTCATTTTGGTTGTCACAGATGTAGGGGGATGCTACTGGTGTCTCTCCAGGGCAATGCTAAGCATCCTACAATGGACAGGACAGTCCCTCTAACCAAGACTTATCCAGCCCAAAGTGGCAGGGTGCTGAAGTTGAGAAACCACGTGGTATATAACACAGATGTACATGCTGGCGGAAGCGTAACTGAAGTAGATGCTGATCACTTACCAGTTTCATGTCTTCAGGATATCCTCTTCTTTTAACAAGGAGGTTGTGACTAGTTACTTCCCATGAAAGTCAGCTAACCCTTAGAGTTGGAAAGTGTGTTCATTCCCAATAGCAGCAAGTGAAAAAAAAAATAATGAATTTCTACTTCCAAGAATGTCATATGTGGTTTTCTCCAAGTGTTGCTCTCAGCACTCAGTATTCAGGGCCTTTTTCACCTGTGCATTCTGTTGTCCTGCATTATCAGAGTTAGAATCAGGGTGGAATATCAGTATTTCCCCAGGCATCATTGAGTCCGAAGCTGATGCTGCCAGCTACTAAGCTGTGGAGTCTGATCACGTTTTACTCTGTGTCAATCCCAAGGACCTGTTCAAGGAAGACAGAAGTGAGCAGGTAGCCCCTGAGAGGGTCACTGTGTAGGGGAGCTTGGGAGTGTGGGTACAAGTGGGGAGTACACTTTCCACTTACAGGCTTCTTTGTCAAGGTACATGTTCTCTTTGTTCTTTTGAGTAATTCAGTAACCACTGAAGTTTCTTCTCAAATCAGCTTTTCATTTTGTGAAAGTGAAATCCATTTGCATCAATGAAGTTTATTTTAATTTTTTTCTTAGACCTCAGAATGAAATAATAAGAAAAAATCAGGGGAAAAGTAAACCTTTTAACAAAATGCATAAATCAGGGATTTTTTAAACCTTCTTTTCTTCTGGAAAATCTTGTTGTTTACGTGGTTGGAACTTTATTATTACAGAGATTGTTATAAACATGAACCAACATTCAAAAGTACAAAGCAGGATTTCCCCAAATGCCTATGTTCCTGGCTGGCTTCGTTGCTAGCTGGCACAGTAATGCCACCTGGAAGCAATGACCGTTGGAAAAGAAGCCAGGAAAAAACCTTATGAGAGGCACAGGGCAGTAGATAATTTGTGAAGCAGCCATTTGCCTCCCAAAGTGGCAAGGCTGGCGTGTCTGGTCTAAGTGTCCACTCACGTCATTTATCACACCCTCTGGTAGCAGCACCTCTCTCTACTGCCTGTGAAGGAAACTGTTGCACAATCCTGAAGATCTGACTGAAGGAAACTTGTCTTGGGATCAGAATTAAGGTTCCTTTTTCTTGTTTTCATTTCCAGGTTGCAAGTTATACCCCTTTTTAGCATTCCCATACACAGCTGTCTATATTTTAAGCAATCGTTATATGAATTATATCTTAAATATAAAATAACAAGAATTCCTTTAAAATAACTGCTTTTTCTCCAGAACCAGAGGTATCTCACCAATGGTATCTGAAAGACCTCCTCCCCACCAGCATACCCCCATTTTGAGTGACAGTTGTGTTTAGAAAGTAGTGTTATAGCTTCTTTTATGTAGGATGATTACTCTGTGGTCATGATCTTCTGGGATGAACAGAAAGAGCTGGGCAGAGTTACACTGCACGCGGACAGAGGAGAAGCTTATGGAAGTGCATTGCAAACAGAGATGGGCGAGTTAAGTTACTCAATTGCCATCTGTCTCTGTTTTGCTAACTCATTAGTTCGGACACCACATTGTGTTAATCCCCACTTCCCCTGGCTCTGAGCTCGGTCCAGGTCCCGGGGGAACAGTGAGGCTGCTCAGCTCAACCCTCCTGTCAGCTGGGCCGCAGCTTCTCTGCATCGACAGCATGGCAGGCCTGCCACCTTCGCTGCCACATCACATCAAGGTGAAGTCTTCTCACCAGCCCCTGGCAACAGAAATTGAAACGTTTGGACTTAGCTCATTCTTCCAAAAGACTTTTCTAGGCAGTGGGATAGATTTTCGCCTTTCACTCCCTAGCACTCCCTTCCCTTCCAGTACCCCTTCAAGCAACTGGCAATTTCAGGCTGACCTTCATGGAAGCTTGATGGCACTGAGTACCACCAGCCAAATGCTGTCACATTTTCTGTGTCTCTCAGAAGAAGAGCCCATCTGGCAGCTAAGAACCAATGAGTGAGGCCTAATTTGTCCCCCAAGACTAGACCAGAAGAGCAGTCTTACCTCTGGACCTAATCTAGCATTAAGAGCATCCAGTGATGACCCTTGCTGAGAATTGTTGTTCATAAGCATCATTGTCTGTGCTGGTGAGCTGACTGGGATATGCAAATTATTTCTATCAGTTTATTTTGATCTCTCTGGCCTTCAGCTTTCTCATTTGTGAAAGGGTATTTTCTGAGAATGATTAGATATTTTGTGATGTCTTTTTCAGCTTTAAGTGTGAAAATGATTTGCTAATTTTATATGTTGACAGATACTGCTTTAGGCATTTAATATATATAAAACCATTTAATGGTACCTAGGAAGAAGACACTATTACTAGCCCTGATTTGCAGATGAAAAACTCAGGCACTAAGAGGTTGTTTGTTCAAAGGCAAAGGCAATAAGTGGCAGCCCAGAGATTGGCTCCAGAGTCTGTGCTCTTAGCCACTTGTCACTTAAGATGGTCCCTTAATCACTTCATTGCTCTATTTCCCATCTCTTTTCCAAAGTCTGCAGGTTCTTAAATGTGATCTCATCAACATTTAGGACAGTATCCTTTGGAGGTTATTGTTGCCTCCATTTTTTTTTTACAAATGGACACTTTAAGATAAAAGCGGGGACTTAGAAAGGCCACATACAAGCTATTGGCAGAACCCAGGAGTCCAGCTTTTGTGCTGGGAGTTCCATCTGCTGTGTGTCATAATTAGGATGAGTAGAAAATTCAGATATGACCTGCTTACCCCTTTCGACCAGGGCAAATCAGAAACAGCTCCGTAGACAATTGGGTTAAGTTTCCAACTCAAATGTTAAATGATCTATGCAGACTATAAGTGCATTACAAGCCAATGATTCACACAAATGTAGCAATAACATACCTTTCCCCAGTCCTCTCTATGCTGTAAGGCACCCGCTGAATATCTTCAACCTCTCTCGATAGCAGGAGTTACAGCAAATTCTGCAAATGCCCTCCCACATTTAGCACCTGCAGGGCTCACCCAAGAATTTTAGCAGCAGGAGATGATAGAGAGTTTGTTCTCTGGTTCTCTCTGTCTCTGGCCTGATACTACCTAGTACCCAAGTGGCCCTTCCTCTCTCCTCTAATCTCACTGGATTGCATGTGCCTTTTGCATTGGAGGTTCTGAAAGCCAAGCAAGAACTCCTCCTAATGGCATTGAGTATCTCTTTCTTCCCAGTCCCAGGAAGAGTTTTCCATCAAGCAGAAGGAAGATGATTGTTTCTGCCGCTTATTTAGTCTTTCCAACTTATTGATGGTACACCACTGTAAAGCTATCACAGAAACAGGGGTAGCAGATGAAATTCAGGATACCCAAATACTGGTTTGTGACATAGAAAAATTGGAATTCAGATGAAACTGTACATTCATTGATAGCACCTCTCCTGTACAAGTCTGGACCTAATAGAGTGGAATGAACAACAATACTAAAATACCAAACTTATTTATGTATTTAAGTCACCAAGTGATTTGGGTTTTTGGATCAGGGATGGCTGTTGCTTTCCCCTCAGCAAAGTCAAACCACTGACCCATTTCCTCTCAAACTCCAGTTCCATGTTTAACTGAAGACACACGGAAATAAATGTGTGTTGGCAGAAAGACAAACCCTGAGATGAAGCAGGAGGTATGTTGGCTGATAGAAAGGCTGTTATTTTAATTTCTTTTACATTGCAGCAGTCTCAGATGGATAGTATCCAGGTATCTTGTAGCGCCTGCATCTTATTAAACTCCTGTTTGATTCAGAATTTACAGCTAAAATGCACCTGGAATACCTAAAGTAAGAACTAGACTTTGGTTCATTTGTTCTCAAAAGTGATGTACAAATCGACTGCGCAATCTACAGCAAGTGGCATAACACCTTCAGTAATAAGATGGTGGCACATTTTTCTTAATAACTGTATTTCTTAATTGACAAATTCAACAATGCTAATTTAGTGTTTACTGTTTGACAGGCATTGTACCTCTAAAGCAGGATGCACCCACAGGCATGTTTTCTGTACATCTGTCTCTTTATTGCATGTGACAGAAACCATACTTAAAGTAGCTGAAGCAGAAAATAAAATTATCACAAGGATACTGGCCTATCTATAAAAACTAAGGACTGGGATGCAGCTGACTCCAGGAACAGATGGAACCAGCATTAAATACCATCAACTGTCTTACACACACACACACACACACACTACAACCACCAGGTAGCTGTCCTACACCTGCACTGTCACTACATAGCCACCAGCCACATGCGGCTACTGAGCACATAAAAGGTGCCATAAGTATAAGATACGCACTGGATTTCAAGGACAGTATGAGGGACAATAACATAAAATGTCTTAATTTTCATATTGATTACACATTGAAATGATAATGTTTTGGATGTATCGTGTTAACTAAAATATATTTGACATTTGTTTTACCAATTTCTATTTTTTTATGTGCCTACTAGAAAACGTTAACTTACATATGTGACTTGCAATCTTTTTTTTTCAACTGAGGCAAAGTCTTTCTCTGTCATCCAGGCTGGAGTACAGTGGCACAGTCTCAGCTCACTGCAACCTCTGCCTCCCCAGTTCAGGTGATTCTCCCACGTCAGCCTCCTGAGTAGCTGAGATTGCAGGCACACACCACCATGCCCAGCTAATTTTTGTATTTTTACTAAAGGGAGTTTCACCATGTTGGCCAGGTTGGTCTTGAACTCCTGACCTCAAGTAATTTGCCTACCTTGGCCTCCCAAAGTGCTGGGATTACAGGCGTGAGCTACTATACTCAGTCTGGACACTGTTGTTTTTCTAGCTTGTTTCACTAAACATCTATAGCAACATAAATCTCCCCATGCCTTAGTTAGCCTGACTTAGTTGAGGAACACGGAAGGGACAATCAGAGACATATATCACCATTCAAATATATACCATTCTACTTCATCTTCTCTCTTCTGTAGTGTCCATCGTAATTTTTACATGAGCTGAACACACACACTTCTTCTTCTTTTTGAAAGTGAAAATATTATATTTGCTCACTTCAAAAATACTTATTGAGCCCTAATTCTATGCTAGATCTTCCATCAGGCAGTGGGGATACAAAGTCCCTGCCCTCACAGAGCTTCCGTTCTAGCAGATTCAGCCACTTTCAGCTTGTTTTCATTAATGGAGCCCTGATGTGGGAAGTGCACCCCTCAGTGTGGCTGCATGTGGTCCAGGCTGAATGACTGACCTTTATCGTGAGTCTGATTGAATGAAAACTTGGATTTTCAGAGTCACCATGTTGTCTGAGGCCAATACCATGTTGTCAAGGGAGATGGCAAAGGATGCTGATATTCATAACTCAGGAGCCTTCAATGATGTAAATCTGTATTCCTCTTCCTGTTTCTATGGAGCCGTATTCCAGAATTCAGAAATGGAACTATGGGAATATGGCTCTCCCCACCCCCCAGAAAGAGTCCTTCCTCTAGATTTCCTGACAATGTGTGTGAGGAAGCCTCTGGATTCAGTCGTTGTTTGGTTTTTTAAGTAACTTTTTAAATGAAGTATCATACGTAAACAAAAAGGTGTGTACATCATGGTGTATAGCTCTGTGAACTTTCTCACTGAGCACACGTGTAAGCAGCACCCAGATTAAGAAACAGAACATTAATAGTTCCCCCATGATGCTCCCCATTCCTGTCACGATCCCTACCCCACCTCTCCACCCTCATCCCAAAGGTAACTACTATCTGGACTTCTACAACCATGGATTAGTTTTGCCTGATTTTGAACTTTGTATAAATGGAGTTATATAGCAGGTTCTCTTTGGTACTGTTTTTCTTTTGTTTTGTTTTACTCACTATTATGTTTATGACGTTTATTCATGTTGTTTTATTAACCAATAGAAGATATAGATAGCTCCTAAAAAGGAAAATAAAAATTATAATCATAGTACATTAAGATAATATGTCAGCCAGGCGTGGTGGCTCACGCCTGTAATCCCAGCACTTTGAGAGGCTGAGGCGGGCGGATCACCTGAGGTCAGGAGTTCAAGACCGGCCTGACCAACATTGTGAAACTCCATCTCTACTAAAAATACAAAATTAGCCAGGCATGGTGGTACATGCCTGTAATCCCAGCTACTTGGGAGGCTGAAGCAGGAGAATTACTTGAACCTAGGAGGCGGAGGTTACAGTCAGCTGAGATTATGCACTCCAGCCTGGGCAACAAAAGCAACAACAACGACAAAAAAAAACTCCACCTCAAAAATATATATGTGTGTGTGTGTATGTGTGTGTGTGTGTGTGTGTGTGTGTGTGTGTGTGTCAGTGTTTGTCATTCTAGCCACTTTTCTATGTGTATACCTATTTTAATTTTGTTTTCAAAAATTAGACTGTAGTGCACATACTACTTTGTGATTTGCTTTGTTGTTTAATATATCAGATCTACAAGTGTGTTCTAAATGTCGGTCTGTCGTAACAAGGCTATATTCTGAATTGACCAATAGGTAATATAGAAAAGTAGAAAATTATTTTTTAAACACACATTAGTATTTATATTAATCATTTTGTCAGATGTAGATTTGGTCTATCTCAGTCAGACTTCCAAAAGACTTCCAAATAAAGGTAGCAAACAAAAAGATCACTGATTGCTAGGGAAATCTGGTAATCAAGACCAAGTTGGGCCTTTTGTTTCTCAATGAATCTTCTGAATTACTCTACTATTTGAAACCTAAGTATTCTGCTAATATGTAAAGATTAGGAACTGAATAGTTCTGAGAATGGCTTGTTAGAGTCTCTGTTCAACTCCTAGCTTACTCTATAATCTGAGACAAGTCTGTAAAATGTTCCTTATTTCTCAGATGAAGAGCCTCATCTCCACCTCTGTTTGGGATCATAAGAAATAATACTTACATAACATTTTAGAGTCCTTGAATGAAAAGTTTTTTGGAGTTGCTGACTGTTCCTAATGTTTCCTCAACTAACATTGTGGAAATCCATTGTTGTGGATATAGTTGCTGAGCTAGGTCATAACTAGACTGCAAATCTTGAGTAGTGGAAAAATCTATGCCTTGAAATTCTGGTCATTTATATTAAAGCTATTCATTCATTCCTAGGTGTTCATACTGTGAGCTTAGCCTATTATTATTTTGGTTTACTTCCTAAATCTTCACATTTGGGGTCTTCATCCTTGCCCATTTTGGATTGTATCTATTGGCATATGCCATTGGGTTTTCCTGAGTGAGATCACCTGGAACACTAGTATTCTCACATTGAGTTTATACTGCAGGGGTCAGAGAAGTAAATATTCCTATTAGTCAGTAAAGCTTGAATTTAGAGCCTGGGACTCGAGACACTTCCTCTCTGGGACCCTTGGAGACAGACCAGCACTGAATGAAACTAAAAGGTAGAGAATATACTGTGGCTAGGAAAAGTGCTGGAGCCCATCCATGCAGAGATACAACAGTAGGGTATTTAAGAGTTGGAAGGGATATTAGAAACCCAATCATACTTTATTTTTCAGTTGGGGAAACCAAGGCTTAAGGAGGTCACAGAATGAGTTAGTCACAGAGCTGGGTTAGAAGCTTACTTTAGTGTTTCACTAAGTACTCAGATGTCTGCACTACTAAGAAATACAGAGAAAGAGCATCAGAGGAAGGATTAGGGTGTCCTCTAGACCTCATTACACTAATATAGTCCCGCATAGGATCTAAAGACTTACTTGTCTCCAAAATACCTCACAAGCTTAGCGTATTGATTCATTCTTTCCCAACTTGGGATTGCAATGGTGAGAGGAATTTGGCATTTTATCTAATTAGCATTGGAAACTTGGCCTTCTTTTGGAGAATTCAAAAGTTCAGTTCAGGATATGTTCGCAAGATATCTTCCTCTAGAATTAGGTGGGAGATAACTTGATATTAAATTTATGAGGCTCGTCATTCTTTCTTTTTCTTTCTCTTTCTATTCTTTCTCTCTCTTTTTCCTTTCTTCTTTCTTTTCATGTGGTATTTCTTTTTAAACTTGTTGCTGATGACCTCTTAACCCCTGCTTTTAACGTTCTGTTTCATTTGTGTTGTCACAGATATATCAGTTGTTGAGTCTTTAGTATGCAGAGATGCTGAGCTTGCCCTTCCAAGATGTTAGAAGGTCAACTCACATTATGGTCTAGGTCCAGGAAATGAGAATATTTCCAACTCACTGGGGACCATCTTGGCCTTGAGCAGAAATGGGATCTGAATTATTACCTAAGAGACCTTTGTAGATTGTCACAGTTGGCAGCCTCAGGACTTGAGCTAATCCTGGACATTCTTTAACTTCCCAGAAAGAAGGTTGCACAAGGGCAGGCTGAGGTGCTCAGAGAGAGCAGACGGAATAGAACTTATGACCAGTTGCCTTTACAGCTGGACTTGGAGAAAAATAACATTATACCCTTTTTTTTTTTAATCATGAAGCCTTTGACTTTCAGGGGATATCTATTCTTTATTCCTTTTACCCTGTATGTGGGAAAGAAAATGCTCTGTATGAAAGAAAAGCAAGCAAACTTGTTGACTCAGTTCCCATGGTGAATGCAAGGCAGATCAGGCCAACAGAAACAACTCAGATATTACAAAAATGTGTTTCTTTCTGGCGGCTGCACAGTCAGTCCTTTATATCCAGTCACTGCCATCGCCCCATCACACAAAACTGTTTCCAAGGCCATTATTCTGGTTGCGGGGGCTGCTTCCCCTACAAATAAATGTTGATTTTGCTAAATGTCCTCTCTCTTCAACTCTTGCGGTAAATGAGGAGTAGTAAAGCATCATTTAGGAAAAGAAAGTGTAGAAAATCAGAGAGATGAAATACTGCACGTTTTCTAAAGACTCTGGTTTATCTGGCTCAAGCAATACACATTATAAACTATGGAACCACCTGTATAATCTGGTTTTAATTAACTTGAGGAAGGTACATCAATGTTATTTCATAAAAATCAAATTCTGCTTACATGGAAAACCACCACTACAGGGTACATCGGGTCATTGTTCACGTTGGTTTTGGGGTTGGCAAATAAATCCTGTATTTAGAAAAACCCAAGCAAACCCTGTTTCTTTGGGACCTTCTTATGCTTTGGAAGGCTTGTCATAGGTTCCTTGGAATGTAGGGAGTGCCCTGGTGAGGATCAAGGCACAGTTCAAGATGTCATTTGCCAATTCTTCCTTTTATGACCCTTCCAGTCTTCTGTCTTCCTGCTCCCTGCCTATCTCCATATCTCTTTAGTGCTTGGCCTTGATGCCCTACAGGACTGTCTCTCTCATTTGCCACTTTGAACTGAATGATTTGATCTCCACTGGGTGGACAGTGGGTGACATAGAGCCCTCTATAAACAAAGATGCTATTTCAGGCTTGCAAAAGGAATGAGGCCCAGATGGTCACAAGGGGCTGGTGAAAAATAGAACCCTCTTTTGAAACTCTTACTTCACCAATTACCTAAGAGCTGGAAGGAACCTGAAAGATCCTGTAATCCACACACCTTCTTTTCCGAGGAGGAGGCTGGGATTCCGAGGTGAAGAAACTGGTCCACACTAGTGAAGGCCGTTGACTGGGACCTCCCATTTCAACTCATGCCCTTTCCCCTCCAGCCTGGTGCCCTAGTTCTGTGGACCTGTTGATTACAACACAGCCCACGCGGAGAAAATCCTGCCCTGTCAGCAGAACAGCTTTACACGCTGACATAGGACATGTGCGCATTTGGAGTCAGGAGAATGGCTGAGTTTTAGTTCCAGTTCTGCCTCTGCTTTGTTGGCTTCAGCGAGTCACTTCTCCTTCCTTTGTCTATTTCCCCTATTGGGAAAGGAGAAGATAATGAACCTTTCCACCTATCAGGCTCACTTGAGTGTTATAAAGAATAATGAGGTGATATTTGTAAAGTGCTTTGAGCCGCTGGGAAAGAGGAGGGGGTGAGCTCAGTAGAAAGCATTATTAGCTGGAAGCACTTATCAATTGAGCTGTTTAACAATAGCGGAGAGCAAGGATACTCAGAAATGAATTCCAGGGACTAGCCCTGCTTTGAATTTAGGAGGAGGATTAGTGGGGACCTAATAGGTATTCCGCTTCTCCAATTTCTTCAGTGCACCATCAAACTAGGAAAGGTAATTACATTCTTCTATGTCGGATTCGGCCCAGAGTTTCAATTGGGATGTCAAAGTGTGCTTGTCTTCTATTCTTATACTGAGGCTGTGTTGTGTTGTGATTGTTAAAGCCTTGGGCATCTTCTAACCCCTGGGGTAATTTTGCTTAGGAGCTATACAAAGTAATTTCTATGCAGTGGCTGGGCTGCTGTTTATAAGGTTGATTAGTAGAGCTTCTAAATCTAAAGCGCCTGGGAAGCAATTTGGATGAAGCAGGGAAATAAAAGGCAAGGTCTTTATCATGGTTGATCTTTTTCATTGAGCCGCTCCATGGGAATTTTCTCAGTGACTC